CAAATTTTTTTTTGGATTTTCGGATTTAGAATGATCAGAAACAGGAAAAAAAGTTTTAAAAAATGGGGGTCAGAAATTTTTTTCGTCTGCACGAATGCAATAGTGAGGCCCCATAGGAAGGGCCTCAGTAATATTGGGCCAATATTGATTCTTGATTTAAATACATGCCTATTATTTAAAATTGAAATAACTTGTACATTAATTAACTTGGAGGAGAAGCACACAGAGATTGTTAAATGAGCTATAAAATATACCATCAAAGAAATATTAATACTCAACCTATTCCAAACACCCCGTTAACATTTAAAAGACTCGCGTCTTAGACACATACACATGTGGTTTGTAAAATGAAGAACTAATTGTGTATGACATGTATATACTCAGTGACCTACGGAACAAGAATTGTATTGTGTCTGTTGACTTCGTCGTTAGTAGTGCCTTTTTAAACCATCGCGATAGCCGGGCTTGCTTAGTTTGAACTGTGTGTTGTGTTTCAAAAGAGAGACCTGAAAGAGAGTGTTTTCAGTGGCTGAAAGGAAGAAGAAATGCTGAAATTTTGTTCGCCTTATGGTCGGCGACGCGAATATTTGGTAAATAACGAATAATATTTTACTTGATCATAAGACTCAACAAAATTATTAAAAACATTGATTATGGTTTTATACATACGCAAAAATGATAGTAAATTGAATTTTGCTCAAATTTTCTATGACCACCTTTTTTAAATTGCTTGTAACTTCTTTAAGAATATTAATATTAAGAATATTTTTCTTAATATTGATTCGTCCCTCGTTAAACTTATTAAATATAAATATATAAATATAAATATTATCTCTTTTGTATAGGGAATGGTGTCAATAATTTAATTTGACGTTAAAAATTATACATATTTTATAAAATTTCGTCTGTGAGGATGGGATGAATAATTTTCAGCCTAACCTATAGTTGTTACGATTGTAATCATTTGTTTAGAAAAAGTGAATCTCTTAACTGTAGACCTATATATTGGAAAAATATTTTAAATTCAAGCAGTTCATTCTCTTGAACAGACTGTTAATGTATCTGAAGGTCTAACCAGTACAAGCACAAACCAAGAAAAAGGCTACCAGGAATCGCAGATGATGCCCTGGAGTATATTGCAGGATAATCTTGCTAAAAGGCATAAAGAGACTTCACATATGAAGGGTACAGGGGAAAAAAGATGAATGTCACAAAAATTAGTTTCTGAGAAAGTAGGATTTTAAAATTTGAAGACTTCTACAATACTTGTCTGAAAATATATTTGGCTCAAATATTTTTTTCTCAATAGCTGGTAGTATAGATTACTTTGTTACCAATTATTGAGTGCACAGGTTTATTTTTGTAGCTGGAAAAAAATATTTGGAGTTATACAACATAGGATCGAGTGGGGAAATGGAGTAATTTATCATAAACAATGTGCTAGTAATTGCATTATTTATTGAAACGAAAGAGCATACAACTTTAATTTTGGTTATATAAAAGTAGTACCAACGAAAATAGTAAACAAATTCTAATACAGAAAATATATAGGGCGTTTTAGATGTAGTAGTACAAAAGAATCAACAACAAATTCTTAGGATTAGTAAAAACTTAGGGCAAGCTCTTAATAAACAAATAATCTAAATTAGTACCTTTTTATTAAAACTAAGGCAAATAAGGGTAAATTTCGGTAGAACATTGAAATATTAGGTAGTTATAATATAATAAAAAAAAAACATACAGTGAGCGTCAAAAAGTTAACTTGAGTATTGTAAATTAAAACCTTTAACATAAGTTAAGCGTCTTCATCTTCGGTAGTGTTGTTATAAGATAAGTTTTCAAAGTACTTTCATGCATTGGGCTCACAAAATCTTTTAAATTCTTGTAGGTCTTGGAACTTTTTCAAAGATATAGGGAGTTTCTCGTTGTATTTTAAAGAAGGTACTTTAAATTGGCCAGGAGATAACAAATCAATATTTTTTGACTTTCTTCTAGGCGGTATCACTACAGAAGTCGTGCAAGCTCCGTTATATGATTCACGATATTTTATCATTCTCGGCATACCAGTATGTACTGTAAGTTCCTTGATTGGTCTTCTTTCAAATATACACTTTTTATAGAAGTAATTTGCAAATTGATTCGTCCATGAACGAAAAATATTTTGATCTTCACAGTCAATTACACAAAAAGGACCAGGTTTACTTCTAGCACTCAGAATTTGCTCATTCCATCCACCCGAAAGTTCTACTGCTGCCTTTTGGTTTATTAGACCTATATTGCGGTCGCATTCTAGATAGCTGTGTCCCAGAACTGGAAACGTCATCTTGATTTCCTTAAGAGTTTAGTCTTATGGACAACGAAATGCAGTAAACTAAATAAGGTAATTCTTATTTTGGCCGCTACACGAATCGCAGAAAATTTCTAACTCTTGGACACGCTCATCCAAGAAATTAAAAATAAAATGAAATAGCATAGATGCTACTTCATCTGAATCCTTCTTTCCAGCAGTTTTCGTGTAAGTATAAAAATATGAAGCAGAGTTAGACAGCACATGGATATTAAAGGAAAAGAAAGAAAGTTGGCGTTTATAATATACATCAATAGTGCTGATATTGGGCACTGGCAAATTTTTTTGAAAATTCACTGCTATTGCCTCTTTTTCTGTATTTCTGTACTTCTGTAAAACGTTTCAGCTATTAGAAGATGCAGTTTATGTTTTGTTTCCAAACGAGATTAAAGCGCTTTTTGTGAAGGATCGTTTTTGATGCTCATTTTTTTGGCCTTGTGCTCATCACAGGCACTGCAGGTATCCGTTCGTGCATAGTCGAAACCTATGTTAATTTAGTTACAAATATAGTTCTGTAAATCTCGTAGGAAACCTTTTTTCTCAGGATTTTGTTGCAAAAACATGTTGAACATCTTTTTCACGTTAAGATCGTCCGGTAAATGTACACGTTGGGAGTCATGGAGACTATAATGTGATTTGCGGCTTTCAAACGAAGCAATATGGTCAAAAACGGCCGTGGATATTTCATCTGGGAGACGATTTTTTCGATTGGAATGTTGACCTCGCCCATCATGTTTAACATGTTCAAAAGTGGTTAACTGCTGCTGGATATTCTGAAGCCGTTTCGCAGATATTCCATGCATAGAAAGCATAGCTTTATAACATGTTGGCACTTCTATAGCTGTATTATCTTGTTGTACGTGTACGAGTGTACGAGTGATATTCAACATCTTCATCATTATTATTTCTACTTCGGTGTCGTTTAACGGGGGCATGTGAAATTAAGCCACCCAGATACAAATTTTGTTCATCATGATCTTTAAGTTCACTAAACTGTTTAATTATTTGCAACCTCTCTCCTTCGGTGACATTTTCAAAACACTTAAATCTAGTACAATTACAACTTGGGCCTGTTTCATGGCTTCGTAGTTTTAATAACTTAGCAACGTTCTTCATACGTCCACGAGATTTCCGTTTTTTAGACCTTATAGGAAAAACTGCACTATCAACTTCAATGTCTTCGTCACTCATTGCTAAATATTTCGATTGCACGTGGCACGAGAAAAAAAAACAGCATACAGCATGTGGTGGATTAAACGGCCCATGAACTACTGAAATAGTAAAATAGCGCGTAATAAAATGGGAAAAAGCATCGAGAGAGAAAAACAAAACAATGCGCGATTGCCATATTTATGGACATTCATCTTTTTTCCCAGTTCGCCGAGACGTTCATATTTGTTCCCCTGTCCGGTAAAATTTAGATTCGATGTGGCTTGCTATTCTCATATATTTTGATCGGTTTCAATATTTTATCGGATTCTTTAGCTTAAAATTGGAATTTTTGGACATTCATCTTTTTTCCCCTGTACCCTTCATGTACTAGTGCTCATAGTTAAAATATTCCTTGTTGGGTACAATATTAAACTGATTTAGAATGGTTCAAAAAAGTAAAAAAATGGAATTGTTATTTTGAAAAGATAGGCAAGTAATAATAAATAATAATAAAACTGGGCCCTGCAGTAGTGAAGAGATTTAAAAAGACGATGAACGAAAAAGTAGTAGCAAATTACAAAAAAAAAAAAATGTAAATTAATAAAATCTCATACAGTGTGATGACCTAAATTACCAGCTTATCAAAAAATATCTTATTAGTTTTAAGTACAATTAAAAAATTTCCAATTTATTATCATTGGTTGTTTTATTTATTAATCAAAGTCGGAAAAGGCCAATCACTTAATTTTTTTTAATGGAATCTTTTTACATTTTAGATACTCTATAGTGGGCTGTCCGTTATTTACCAATTTGATTTTTGAGTTTGCAGCGCCCCTAAAATGTTTAGTGTATGACTGAAAAAAATATATCGAACCCATATAAGCCTTTAATATTGATGATAAACCGTGCCACAAAGGCAATTCATTTTCCATTTAAATAACATGGGGTTTTTGTAAGTTTTGTAATCAATTTTTTCGTTCCTCAGCCAGCTCATATACAAAGCTGCGGCAATCAATAATTTTTGTAGTAAATTTAACGCTCTACAAAAAATTCTTAGTAATTTTTTTCGATAAATTCACTTGCTTAAAAGTTATTCAAGCTCAAAGTTCAACTAAAAATAACTTATTAATTTTCTTTGTATTTTGACTTTCTTCTTAATAAATTCTAATTTCCTCTTTTCAATAATTTTGACACTCAACAAAGAACAAATTGTGAAACAAATAATGATTGTTTCTCAGTAAATGTTTCATTCCATCTTCATTATGTAATTCGTTTTAGTAGCTTCACGTAAGTACCTATTTGTATCACCCTGTAGAGTAAAAATGAGGTTCAATACTTCCAAAAAACTACATTTAATTCTCTTAAGTAATTTATGTTACTATTTAGTGAAATTATTGGGTAAAAAAGATACAAAAACAATTTATTAGGTATCATAACAGACTTACGAACCATTTCTACTAGCTATGCAACCAGTTCTACACTGATGCTTCGTTTGTTGTAGGTCAACCCGGGAAGTAAAGCAGCTCATCGAGGTATAAGAGAAGGCGATTTTATCTCATCTATCAACGGACAGAGTACGAAAACTTTGACAAACACCGAAGCCCATGGGCTTTTGAGGAATTCCGGAGATGTTTTGAAATTAGGATTAAATGAGTAAGTTAAATAAAAATATTTTTGGATTAAATCTACAGTGTGTCTGTAAAGTATGTAATAAAATTATATTTAGGGAAAATATTAATTATTTTTAAGGAAATTCCTAAAACAAATTTTCGCATTTTGAACAAAAAGTTGTATATACTTACAGGGTGATATAGACAGGGCCTACGAGAGGGGGGTAGCCGGGACAAATTCCCAGGGTCCGAGCATAAGTGGGGGCCCTGCAAGGAAACAAGGGGGTCCCGGCAGCTTTAGGTGAGGACGTTTTATTTTTTTAAAGTTCGCCACAAAAGGGAGAAGCGCTGGTTTATGTAAAATACAAGATGAGAACCTTTTTTTTAGAGATTTCACTAAAAAGGATCTAAGTTTTTGCTTGTCCTGGAGCCACACCTGGCTCTCGGTGGCCCTGAATATAGATGAACATGTGAGTAATGAAGTCAACGATAATTTTTTTAAATGAGACACCCTACCCTGTACCTATATGTAAGAAAACACGATAATTTCCTCAAATTAATCTATTTTTAAAATTAAACACAAACAAGTAAAATCGACATTCCGTTTAGACAGCCGAACTATAAGTGGCTCCTTTATTTTATTTTTCTGGCCACATTGCTTTAGGAACTTAGTATATAATCCTAACATAACAAATATTATTTTTTTTTTAATTTGGTGTCAGGCTTCGACTACTAAGGCCATTAGCCTCGTGTTCTGTGTAGGCGTTGTCACTGTTTCCCAGCGCCACTTTAGGAACAGCACTGTTAATTAGAACCCAACAGTGAATGGTCGAGTGGGGAATACTACCAAGGCATCAGAATTAATTTTAAATAATTAAATTAAATAAAAAAATCCCGGCCAACGGTGGGATTCGACCCTGGGACCCTTGGATTCACAGGCAGAGACTCTACCACTGAGCCACTTACCCCATTGAATCTTATTGTTAGAGAAAATAATATGGAAATAGTTTGGTGAAAGGTTTTTATTAACGAATAACTATTTGAACAAACAATACTAAAATTAAAATAGTAACTCAGGTTTGGTGCGCACATTCATTGGTTAATTTACCGGAAGTACTTACATTGACATTGTCATTGACAGACGACAATGCAGGTAGTCATCTTTATTAAACAAAAGTAACTAATTCAGTCAGGATTGCCAACTATAATAGATACGTGTATTGTAAAACTTATGGTTATTAAATTTTAATTCCCTTGCGCGTCGTCCCGTTGACAGGCAGTTCCTGGTCCGCTAGATGATTCAGATAAATATCATCGATCAAACGCCATCATATTTTTAATTCTTACAAATATAAAAATTTTGTAATCACCATGAAAAGTTTGAAAATATATCACACATAGGGTTTGTATAGGTACGGGAATTTCCTTCAAAATGGATATTTTGCGTAAAAATAAATTTGTTTCATACTTTACAGATACACTGTATACAATATAATAACGAATTTATTTTTAAGGAAAAATCCTGAACAATTTTATCAATTTTCCAAAAAAAAAGAAATGCATGCCAACTTATCAAGTTAAAAAAATCAACCTGATTTTTTTTAAAGCAATCCACAATCCATGCACGAAAAAAAAAACAAGAGTTAAAAAATTGTATTTCTAGTTGCTTCATTAAAAAAAAAAACATTAAAATTGCAAACATATTTAGGGTGCTATTTTTAAACTTTGACTCCATTTATCTAAGAAACTAAGCTTTTTCAGACATATGTAACAATTTTTTTCTTAATTTGACCCAGGGCATGCAGAATAAAATTTTAGTTTAATAATAATGAATTACCCCTAGTTAAAATGAATAATTGGGCACTAACTTGAAATCTGTCTCTGTTACTACAATTTATCTTTCATAAGAAAGATTTTACAAAGTTTTACCATCAAATTACCATCGCCTAGCTAGATATTGTTATCACCAGTATAATATTTTTCAGCTCTTTTTTTTTTTCGACTTAGAACTAGAAAGACTTAAAAAAATTTCTCAGAACTGACGTAACTTAAGCCTTGCTTTCTTTGAACACTTCATCGCGGTGAGCGGACAGTCCGTCAACCGTCGCGTTTTGACGATTTTATCCAAGCAGAGTATTTAAATGGGAATGGTTTTCTTGAATCCGCTTAGCTGAGCAGGACGGCGTCATGCCGTTGATTTGTCGCGAAGAGTCGGTTGATATCTGTTGAGTTTGATATCAGCGGAATCGTCGGCGTGTGCGGAGACTATATTGTTATTAATTTTAAAACAATGAGTGACAAATTCACACTTACAGATGATATCATGACTTTATTTTTAGGTTTCTTGGAAATTATGTCCTTTATAAAACGCAACACGAATTCAAGAAGATCTGTAGAAAGTCTAAAATACTCCCTAAATTTGGTTTCATTTCCAAAAAGCCTCCGCTGCACAGTGATATTAAAGGCACCTTTCTGTATCGCGACACAAAAACAACTCATCCACTGGCTTATTGGAAACTTTGACGGTTGCAATTGCCAGTTCCTCTTGTTCTTCCTCTTCCAACAATAATAACAACGCAAACAATTTATTTGCATCCATTTTAGTACCTTTCGTTTACATTCATAATACATAAACAGCACGTACAGACATAGAGAAAGTATCATTTTCTATATTTTTTAACAAACCACCTCGGGCGAAAATTGCTGTCCTCAGCGGTCGACGGACTGTCCGCTCACCGCGACGGAGTGTTCAAAGAAACCAAGGCTTTAGATAAATAAATGTATCCTAAAATTACTCAGAAAAATCGAATTTTTAAACTTGTTACCCATTTCGACTTAATACTTCGAAAGACCGATTTTTCTAATTTGTAACTTGAAAATATCAAATTTTATGACTTACAATATTAAAGAAATCGAATTTTCTTAGTTATAATATATCTGTTTTTCCAATTTATGCCAGAAATATATATTTTTTATTTTTTTAAATCAGAAATGCCGATTTATCTAAATTGTAACTGTTATTTTTCCAATTTAATTAGAAGCCTTTATTTTAAAACTCAGAATGGCCGATTTTTCTATTTTTTAACTTAAAAATATCAAATTTTCCTTCTTTTAATTCAGAAAAATCGAATTTTCTCGTTTATGAGTTGAAAATATCTATTTTTCTTTATTACGGTGGAAAGCTTTTTTCATTTTTCGATTTAAAATTCAAAAAAATATGATTTTTCTAACTTCTATATAAAAAATTTCAAATTTTTTAGTAATTCTGCGAGACAAGAGATTCTCGTCTCTCGTCTCGACGAGACTAGAAAGACATTTTCTTTCGAAAACAAATTCGAGACGTGATGAGGAGAATTTCTTATTTCTCTCGAGAGCTCTCTAGAACAATTAACTTTTGGACCATTTTGAAATTTTTAATTGCTTATCGTAACTCATCAGATTTCCAGATAGTGAAAAAGTTAACTAAAACACACGTATTATATTATATTAAATGGTAACGAATAATACGTGTGTAATTGTGATTTATAGGATCTATAAGAAAAATATGTATCATGTCATTTATTTAAAATTAATTTAAAATGGAAGCTACAAGAACTTTTTAATGACTTAAAATAAAAATTTCAAATGAATAAGGAAAATACATATTTAAAATAGTTTTTGCGGTAATTTTCATAAACAACTTTACTTTAAATATTATAGTCGATAAAACTACAGTTAAAAAGTTTTTTAATGTAACAAACACTTTTCTTACTAGTTTTCACATTTATTAATAAACACAAATGTATTGGAATTAAACAAAAAAAACATACTTTTATTTAAATGTAAATGCAAATTAAAAATAGTATATTGTTTCACGAGTGACGAAAATAACATTTTTTGAAGCGAGATAACAATTTACCAACCGCGGCGAATTTTTTTAGTTACATATCGAAAGATACATTTTATTTTCCGATTTAAGCCGGAAATACTTTTTATTTATTCGACTTAAAACTCAGAAAGACAATTTTTGGACTCAGAACTAAGAAAAATTGGTTTTTTGACTTGTAAAAGGAAACATAGTTTTTTTCAGTCCAAATTAACTTTAACTTATTTCGACTTGGTTACTCGGGAAAGCTCTTTTTATATTTTGTGACTCAGAAATATCAATTTTTACGATTTATATGTTATTAAGAATAATCGAATTTTCTTAGTTATATGTCGGAAAAATCATTACTGTTTAAAATGAATAATTGAGCCCTAAGTATAAATCCGTCCCTGCTACTATAATTTATCTTTCATATAAGAGAGGTTTTACAAAGTTTTACCGTCAAATTACCATCACCTACAGCTAGATATTATCATTACCAGTGCAGTAGGTACCTACTTTAGTTCCATAATGAATGAAACCAAGTTGTGAAAACTTAGAAATGCAACAATGTTGCGCATTCATACATATTCCTCTATTTATTTATTTATTTATTTATTATGAAATATAGCACCGATGACCTTAATGTCTTGAAGATTATCTCTACTTCACTCCTTTATGGTTCGAATTGTATATTAATTAAGTATTGTAAGTGGGAAATTAACGAAAACATTTTTGTGATTGACAGGTTGCTTGAAAGATATACCGGGACGAAATAGAAAGTTATCTAGTTCTTATTTTTCGATTAAAATAGTTGAAAAAGCTGTCAAAAGACAGATTAATAAAATTCCTAGACAAAACTATAGTTCTATCGAAAATACAATTTGGATTCTACTAATTATGCGACATAACTTACTTAAACCAGTCCAGGCTTTGGACAGATCAAGTAAATGTCTAGCGGTTTTACTTGATCTGCCAAAGGTCTTCGATACGAATTTTCAACTATGACATTAAAGGTACAGTATGTGATTTACTTAGAAATGTACTTAGAAATGACTTAGAAATTATTCTATTATGAGATTTAGTAGTTCTGAATCCGTCCCTGTCCCTATCCATTACCAACCCACGTCCATAACTAACCTATTTGTGCCTCGCCTTCCTGTATAAATACATTCGGAACATTTAGTCACTGCCCCGCA